TCAGTGCCCCTTCCACAGTGTAAATGTCGCTTATCTTCAGTGCACCTTCCACTGTGTACATGTCGTTTATCTTCAGTGCACCTTCCACAGTGTACATGTATCTTATCTTCAGTGCACCTTCCACAGTGTAAATGTCGCTTATCTTCAGTGCACCTTCCACTGTGTACATGTCGTTTATCTTCAGTGCATCTTCCACAGTGTAAATGTCGCTTATCTTCAGTGCACCTTCCACAGTGTAAATGTCGCTTATCTTCAGTGCACCTTCCACTGTGTACATGTCGTTTATCTTCAGTGCACTTTCCACAGTAGAGATGTCGTTTATCTTCAGTGCACTTTCCACAGTAGAGATGTCGTTTATCTTCAGTGCACCTTCCACAGTGTGAATGACGTTTTTCTTCTACCACGCAACGCCATTTTCACACTCTCGTTTTGCACCTTAGAAGGCTTCTGGAATTCAAGTCGTATATGTTAAAAACTAAAATTTCCACATACATAACATTCCTCGCAAGTATCAATTCCGTAATAACCAGAATACCAGTCCGTCAATCATGTTGTATTCTCCTGTATCTGTTGTGTTAGAGCATGACGTGGCGTGTACAACATGACACTTAGATATTGTTTATAACAGGTCCAAACTTTCCTACTGACATTAAAACTACAATTTCATCCAACTGTATCTTTTGTGTGACTTTAGAGTCTCACTGGTATTAATCCTGTGTGTCTATAGACGCTAGTAGTGTTAATTAGCTTCAACTATAATTTAATTCACATTTCAAAATTATACTTATGCTGTATCATACGATTTACTCTGATGAATCGTAATAAGAAAAACATAATTTGAAAACAAAACGTCAACATTAAAACTATATATGACGACGATTTTCATTGTAAATACATACAACTTTTCAATTAATAAAATGTTTCTCTCACACTTTCTACTTAAGGTCAGAGCAATTGTTTTTGTTGTTGTTTTTTTCAGGTCAGATTAGGCAGAGTAAAATCATAAAAATCTGAGTATTATATTTAAAACATTTATAGATCTCGAACGATTTACGCAATATTAAAAAGAGAAATAAACGAACACTTACTTCAATTATATGTTCAGAGTTATTTCTATAATCCGTGATTACAGACAGGTCCACCAGGATATCATTACTGTAACCATGCCTACGGAACTTGATGAGCGTTTCCAGCCAGTCGAAGCTAG